AAAAATTCAAGCCTCGAGTTGCAACAGTGAAGGATTCTATGGGGAGAATATTAAACGACGCAGGAAGCATCAAAAGAAGATGGAAGGGATACACAGAGTCATTATACCAAAAAGAATTGGTAGACATTCAACCATTTCAGGAGGTAGCATATGATCAGGAACCGATGGTCCCGAAGGAAGAAGTCCATGCTGCCCTGAAGGCATTGGCCATAAACAAGGCTCCAGGAAGTAACAGAATACCGATTGAGATGTGTCAACAAACGGATGCAGCTCTGGAAGCACTCACTTGTCTCTGCCAAGAAATTTGGAAGACAGCTACCTGGCCAACCGACTGGAAGAGATCCATATTTATGCTTATTCCCAAGAAAGGTGATCCAACCGAATGCAGAAATTATCAAACAATATCATTAGTATCACATGCAAGTAAAATTTTGCTGAAGATCATTCAAAAGTAGTTGCAGCAGTAAATTGACAGGTAACTGCCAGAAATTCAAGCTGGATTCAGAAGAGGACGCGGAATGATATGGCTACATGTATACGTTCATCTAAACATCTAAAGTGTTTCCTCCAAGTCACTCTATATCATTATGATGTTTCATTGTATTCATAGAAATTATCACTATCTGAAGTGATTTTATTTGTTTAAATGTTTATTGTCTGTTTCTCCTACAAGAATATAAGCTCCAAGAGAGAAGGGGCCTTGTCTATTTTGTTTACCAAGACATGTCCAGCTGCCAACATAGTACCTATCACATACTAGGCGTTCAGTAAATATTTGGATACATGAAAAACTGTTTTACAAAGAGTTTTCAATCCAGCAAATCAGCTGGAGTTGATCTCCAACACAGAGATTTAGCGTATGGCTTGCTCCGTTAGCTTCTGCTGTTTAAAAGCCTTCAGTTTATTCTGTTACATGGATACTTATGCTGAGACAATTCAGGGATAGTTCTGCCACCACCTGTGGAGAAAATTGCTTGGCACTCTGTCCACTAAGATTCTCTCAATGTCTGTTACTAGTATTATGGAGTGATTTGTGGTAACTACACAACTTGGAAGATGTTTTGTTTCTGAAGTATTATTTTAGGTAAACAGAATAGCTCCAGCTGTGAAATGGATCCACAATGAATACCCATGGAAGCAGCAGTCAAGAAATCAAAAGACACATTGCATTGGGCAAATCTTCTGCAAAAGACCTCTTTAAAGTGTTGAAAAGCAAAGATGTCACCTTGAAGACTAAGGTGCGTCTGACCCAAGCCATAGTATTTTCAATCGCCTCATATGCATTCGAAAGCTAGACAATGAATAAGGGAGACCGAAGAAGAATTAACACCTTTGAATTATGGTGTTGGTGAAGAATATTGAATATATCATGGACTGCCAGAAGAACAAGCAAATCTGTCTTGGAAAAAGTACAGCCAGGACGCTCCTTGGAAGCTCCACGGACTTTAGGCATGTTATCATGAGGGATCATGCTTGGTAGAAGGTGAGAGAAAGAGAGGAAGACCCTCAATGAGATGGACTGACAGTGGCTGCAACAATGGGCTCAAACATAACAACGATTGTGAGGATGGTGCAGGACCGGGCAGTGTTTCATTTTGTTGTACATGGGGTTGCTATGAGTTGGAACTGACTTGAAGGCACCTAACAACAACAACTAACAACTGTGAAAAATTTAGGATGTACTATTACACTGTAGGATTTTAGGAGTTAACTTTCTTGTTAATTCTCACTAAATTTAACGGTAATCATGCGCATGAAATATGTAAAACTCAAGCAGAAGCACTTAGTCAAATGCAAATAAGGTGAAAATATTTCATGTTTCATTTAAATTCCAAGTACAGGAGGAACAGTTAAATTTGTTTAAACAACTACTTACATTATCTTGGGAGTGCTGGAGGTAGGGGTAGAGGGAGGGGTGCAGGAAATGACAGTATTACCAATAGATCTTCATTCAAATCAGCTTACTAGCTGATCTGATGAGATTCCCAGGAGACCCCCAGAGCCACAGAAGTGTCTGGATTTGGAGGAGAAACTGTATAATCATATATAACGTGTATAATTATATATACATATATAATTGCATATTCAGAACTGTTAGAGTCCTCTCTGGAACGCTATGGAAAAGTTTCCAGTTTTGTGTGTGAAGCACTGCACTCTGGGTCAAGCCAAGGAAAAATACAGTAAGCAAGTTGCTAGTATGGCCTTACTCTGTGGTATAGCCACTTTACTTAATAAAACCAAAACCATACCAGTTGCCGGCAAGTCAATTCCAACTCACAGCGATCCTACAGGACAGAGTAGAACTACCCCACGGGTTTCCAAGGCTGTATATCTTTAAGGAAGCAGACTGCCATTTCTCCTGCAGAGCGGCTGATGGGTTCAAACTGCTGACCTTTCGGTTAGCAGCTGAGCGCTTAACCACTGAACCACCAGGGCTCCTGAGTTAATAAAGAACTCATCATTTCCACTGAAATCTATTAGCTTGAGGCTTTTTGCCTAATATAAAAGAACATTTTTTGATACAGCAGATTGCTAAACATTGGAAAGTTATGAAATTGCTGCTCCTGGAGGTCAGTTCTCAAAGTTTTTGAAGTGGCTTAAAAATAGACCTCAGAAGGCAAGAGACTGGATTATTTGATCACTCATAACAAATTAGGACCGTACAATTGAATAACACAATGCAATTAAAGATTTCTCTTCCACTAGTCAACACAAGATCTTCATGTGCGTTAAACTCATTTAGAAATTTATTCCATGAAGTTAAATAAATTCAAACCTTCTATCTTCAATTGTACAGTCTCAATTTGTTTTACAATTATGAATTCACAGAGCTCTTAGAGCTGAAAAGTTATGAGTGATCAAATGATCCAGTCTCTTGCCTTCCAAGGTCTATTTTTAAGCCCCTGCAAAAAATTAAGCACAAACGGTTAAGTGCTCAGCTACTAACCAAAAGGTTGGAGGTGCAAACCCACTCAGAGTTGCCTTGGAAGAAAGGCCTGGCAACATGCTTCCAAAGAGTCACAGCCATGAAAACCCTATGGACTGCAGTTCTATTCTACAATACATGGGGTCACCATGAGTCAGAATTGACTCGATGGCAACTGGTAAGGAGCGGGCGAGGAAGTTTTTGTCTCCCTTTACCAACTTTTCTGTCTCTTATTTCCACATCCCCCAGAAAAGGGATTTATATTTTGTCTGGCAAGATTTTATGGGACAGAAATGGCCTGACTAATCTTTTGGTGAATGCATCTCTCTCCCTCCCGCACAATATTTTGAGTTCCTATATGCTGGTGGTCACATTTTATGCAGTACTATAAGGGGATGATTTTGACAGAGATTTTACTGGGTGTTGCACTGACAGAACTGACAAATGAGGGTTAAGGGATAAAGAAGGGGGAAAAAGATTTAATTTGTAGGTTGAGTGACTAGAAGAATAATGCTGTAAAATGAGATGGGAAATAGGGAGGTGTAAGTTGTTTTAGTGAAATTTTGTTTCCAAATTTCTTGAAGGTGCTAGAAACACTAAAGAAAGATTATCAGGAGGTTTTTGTTATCATATTCCTCAAAAAATATTTACAAATTAGATTTAAAAAATCTTTCAATGTTAGTCCATGTTCTCAAGCTATTCAACACCTTATCCTCCCTTCCCCCCAAAATAAACCCTATTTTTTTTCTCATTGACAAATCAGTGCATGTGAATTTAACAGCTTCATGATCCTAACTCATATAATAGCCTTTTGATCCCAGAAAAGACCACAGTGAGATATTTGGTTTATGAAAAAAGCATAATCAAACCTATAAATAGACGATACAGAAAAGGCAAGATGGTAAATTAGAGAGGTTTACCCACTGTATTCCCAGCTAGAAATCTCTAGGCAGAAAAATCAAAGGATATCTTTGTTAGTAACCAGATTTCATACAAGTATGTCTTCAATGTCAATGTAAAGATTAACACTGACATGTTCCACTCTGTAAAGATGTCATTTTCACAAGGAGAGAGCAGAAATTCTCAGCAAATTTGTACCTAGTCTACTTTTGGTCAATATTTTAACATGCTGAATATAGTGAGTGCTAAATGGTGAAGAATCTACTATGTAACTATTTAATGGGGTTTTGTGATACAACAAACAACTCCTTGAAAAATAGCCAATAGAAATAAAAAATATATACAATCTGAACTACTTTGATAAACCTTTTGAGATTTCTCATGTTTCTTTTCTAGAAGATACGTGGTCACTTTTTAAACCACAAAAATCTAAAGATTTGTAATTGATTATTTGTTTGCGATTTTCAGCATTATTCCATATGCCTTGACTGTAACATACTACCTGTTGACGACTAACTGCTAACTGGTTAATACGAAGGGTGATTGCTATATTTGAATGCAGTAAGTTTGATCAATTAATTTATTTTGGTGTATACCTGTTGCTGCCCTCTGGAGAATATTGCTGGTTAATGAAAAAGTATTAATTACGCTATCTATTTAAATACAGATTGCTTCAATTTGAAAAGAAAAGCTAGTATGTTGTGCAAAATATGTTCACTTTATAAAAATGCTTCAAGGTTTAGTTTTCCATGTCTCCATAAGATGAAACTTTTTACTTTAGCCACGCTACTAAATTATTTCAACACAAACTTTCCACCGTGGTTTGCAAATTGAGAAACCTGTATTCGTCATTTCTTTCTTAAAGCACTGATTTGAAGCTATGTGGACTCCACCAAGGGGAGATAAAGTAGAAGTCCCATATAAATAAAGATTACACTAGAAATTTTAGAAAACCTGTGATGATTGTACATTGGTAAATAAATGGAAAATCTTCTTTTTGACATTTTCTTAAATCACTTATTCAATATAACATTCTTACCTGTTTGCTCAGTTAGGTATTGATTGTTTCTTAATACCAAATAAATACATTTAAGTTTAATTTGTTGTTATGCAAGTTACGTGAACTTTTAACTATTAATTTTCTTTTTCCTTTCTTTTTTTTTTCTCTCCCCAGAAAGGACAAAATGATAAATGCAATCTCTTAATTTGCTTCTCTCAATTTTAAACTGTGGTTTCTTAAGTCTGAAGAAATCATGGTGAATCTGAAGAACGCAGTGCATTCGTTCCTGTAAGGATGTGTTTATTACTTATCCTTTTAATAAAAAGATTATTTTTATGTTAGGTAGATCAAAAATGTTAAAAATGCTTTTATATGACCAGAGGGGTAGCAATGGGGGGGGGACAGAGAGGTGCAAGTCCAAGGGGGTGTCGGACAAGGCCCCGAGTGACATTCCCAGGCACCACAAACCTGAAAGGCGCCTGACTGAGGTAGCCGGACGATAGGGGGGAAGGTGTTTTTGCTTACAAGTCACTGCTATCAACATTTATTCATCTTGAAATGGGGGAGGGGATGCAATTCAGAGATTGCCCCTGGGCACTTGTTACCCTTGCTATGCCCCTGTATATGATCATTCAGCTATATTTGCCTCAATCTACATAAACGGCGCACATCCCAAAGACTATTATAGGTGTTTCCTATTCAAAAACAATAAATAAAGAAAACACACACATCAATTTTAACTTTAAACACACTAGTTCATGTATTCAACCAAGCAATATGGTGATAATGCGCTCAGTTCAAATGAGCACATAGCTCATGGTTGCTTTCTCCACGGGTAAAATGTCAAAAGGAGAAAGAAAGGATTTTTCCTTTTCCATCCTGCATGAACTGAGCAGCCAAGAGAATGAAATGTCTTTATGGTGAGCCTTTGGTTTCATGAAGAATAGTTGAGGTTGAAGAAATATGGGACAGAAGGTAGGGAGTAGGGATAGGGAGAGATGTAGCTAGAAAGAAGAAAACAATGTCATCCTCGGAGGTCTTGATACTGAATTTCAAGCCTTGGTGTCATATTCTGTTACAATGATGGATTCATTAAAAGAATGCAACAAAAAGTGGGTAGGTAAGGAATGGGATTCAAGTAGTGAGCAATTCTAAATCGATCGAATCCAAGTATATCTTCTTTTTAACATCATAAGGTGTTGGATTAGGTTTCTTCCCAACCTACTCTTTGGGGAATGGGGCATGGAAAAAGAGATCCAGGACTGTGTAAACTCTCTGATCACTGCACTTGAGAAGTCCTGAATTTCATTGCTACTATATATAAACTCCTTTCTGATTCCTGTAAAAAAGCTTATCCTCAGAAACCTTTACAGAGTAGAGTAGATAGTGCATCAACATTGGGTTCTACAATGTGCATCACTATAAAACATCTTGGATGTCATTATAGTGATTATAGTCTCATCAAGGCGTGATTACAATAGAACTAGAGAGGACAACAGGGAAGGGGAATGGTGAAGGGGAGCAATAAATAAGGTAAAAGAAAAAGAGTCAGGTATGAGAAACTAAAAGGACAAATGTCTTAATTCATTAGCCTGTACTCAGCACATAGCCATTGGCCCATACGCCAAAATATAGGGCCACTTTAAAAGCACCACATTGTTCTGATACGAAACTAAGGAATCCATACACAATTTTTTCCATTCAATTGGAAGAAACTGGGGACCATTTGATCTCTTCTAATAATGCCCATTGTCATATGTCCTGCAAAACCTCAACAGCTTTAAAATGTACTCAGACTTATAAACCAAGTTTCATTTTGTTTACCTACTGAGAATTTTAAATTACATTTTTCATTAAAAATTTAATGGCAATGAATAAATTATTTGCATTATTCAGAGAGAAATTGTGATTTCTGTGTACATATTTTATGAGACTCCTGTGGACTTAATAGCAATTAATATAAGCTTTAGGAGCATGATTCTTCTTTTTAAAAAGGATGTTAGCTATTTCTCTGAGCACTTAAGTATTAAAAATTACATTTAATTATAGTAGAGCCAATTCTTGATTACAAAATGGCAGGAAATGGGATTGAACCTCAATGAAAATCATAAAACTTTGCCCATAAAAGATATTCAATAAAACTTGGTTAAATGGAATTGAATTGAAACCAGGAAACTGTAGTAAATACTCTTTCAGGATCTACACTAGCACCATGACTTTATTTTATAAATTCACATCAGATGTATTGAGATTCTAAAGGCCTCTTCAGTGATCTAGTGTTTGTCTCATGGACTCTTTAATTAAAAAGAAAAGTAATTTCTGGATGGTAGATATAGACAAGATGACGACTTTAAATGTTTTTCTACCCAGACTCTGATATTAAAACTATGAAATTTATAATTAGAAAGTTTTGCACGTATTTTTTTCTATTATGTACAATTTTATTCTGCACTCCTCTACGGTTTTTAGAGGAACATGAAAGGATTTAGACAATTTTGCAATTTACTTAGAAAATCTGAAGTGGGATTGCATATTCTCCTAGGACCTTATTCTCTAGGTTTAAAGATAAATTATTTGTGATTCTGCGACAAACAATTGAAGATGCAGCATATTACCGTGAGCATAAAACATTATGGGATTACACGAGATGATCATAAACTAATTTAAACCTGAAAAAAAAAAAGGACGTAGAAGAAAGATAAGCTTTTCATCAACCAGAATAGAAAGATCCTGAATTTAAAATTAGTGTCTGCCACAGTTGTTCTCCATAAATAGATCTCTTCTTCAGATAAGTTGAGTCTTAAATTCTTGGCAAATTCTGAAATACATGAGCTGGGGTATAGATATCATAAACTTATTTTGTCCAGGTTTGAATGCAGAAAGAGGATAAGCTCCAATTTATTGGAACTTTATTTATAAAGAGTAGCCCTGGTGGCGGAGTGGTTAAAGCACTGGGCTGCTAACCAAAAGATCAATGGTTTGAGCCCACCAGCCGCTCCAGAGGAGAATGATGTGGCAGTCTGCTTCCTAAAAGATTTACATCCTTGGAAACCCCATGGGGCAGTTCTACTATGTCTTATAGGATTGCTATGAGTCGGAACTGACTCGTTGACAGCGTTTTTTTTGGGGGGGAATTTATTTATAAATAAGGGAAAAGAAGAACTAGGACAAATGTTCCTACTTCATTACTAAAGCAAAAAACCAAACCAGTTGCCGTTGAGTCGACTTCAACTCATAGCGTCCCTATGAGACAGAGTAGAACTGCCCCATAGGGTTTCCAGGCAGTGGCTGGTGGATTCGAATTGCTGACCTTTTGGTTAGCAGCTGTAGCCCTTAACCACTGAGCCACCAAGGCTCCATATATTAAATATATAAATAAAAATAAATAAGGGCCTTACATATATTACGTAAATTAATTGTCATAATAAGCATGTAATAGAGATCATTCTCATTGTGCAGGTGAGGAAATTGATGTTCTGAGAGGTTAAATGACTGGTCAAATAATCCTTGAGGTCATACAGCCAAGAGATTGGCCACATGACAAATCCTACAAATGCAGTGACAGAATCATCAAAGCCAAGAGCAAATAGCTTATTTCTAATTATTTGGTCCTTTATTTGAATAAATACCACTCACATTAAGCACAGATTAACTATTATACAGAATTATTGAATCATGTATTATTTTAGCTTATTGTTTTACATTTCAAGTAAATAGTACAGCCAGAATTTTAAAGATTTTACTGATTATTTTTCATTATTTGACAAAAATTACTATATACGTTTTCTCCCCTCCATGTTGCTTAGACTATCAGATAACTTTGACTTAAGAAGTATTTTAAGCCAAAGACTAAATTATTACTTTTCTGTTCCTTGTGGAATGAGAAAGTTAAAATATTTTCATGATTTCATCAATGTCTTTAAAGACAAAAGCATATTAATAAGCTATTAAGAGAAACCAAGAAAAATAATTAATAAATACACTGGAAAATTATTACAATATTTTGACTTAAGTTTAAAAAATGCCAATGATTGTTATCAGACTAAGTGTTCTAGTTGTAGAATAGATGTGATTTGATTAAGCTAATAATAATAATCTAATTTTACTATTCTAAATTTCTCTGATGATTGGCAATAAACAATGCGTTAATCAGATCATCAACATATTTTCTCTGCATAGAGGTAATATTTTCAGTTCAAAGAACAGGTGGATAAGATAATGAGATAAAAACATTTACATGGAGATTTGAGATGTTGTAATGTTATATGCTTCATCTCACTGATTCCAGAAAGAAATTTATTTCAACTGTTTTGCATAGAATGATGATTTAGTTTATACTTTACCAGCAAAGGAAATTTTCCTATTACATATAAGAAATGTATCCTCATGTTTCACTTAATATTCATTAAATAACTATTACAGCACACAGAATACACATAAAGCAGCCAGTCACAGATAATAAATATCTCTTGCTTTTCAACAGGAAATACTGAACATGCTTGTCTGTATTGTCTGTTTTCTTAAGGAAAATAAATGTGTTTGTTTTATTAGACATGTTAGTAGCATAGACTTTAAGAGGACACTAAGAATTTAACCTAAATAAATTTCATATCACCATCAGGAGAAATTATTTTGGGATGTGCAAGACAACCACGTCAATCTCTCTTGCATTAGCCTGTCACAAAGGACCGGGCGGTGTTTCGTTCCGTTGGGATAGGGTTGCTATGAGTCAGAACCGACTCGACAGCACCTAAGAACGGTAGTAGCATCTATCTGAGTACTATCATGACAAATGTACATTGTAAATGACTTAAGGGATTGAGTTCCTAACATAGGAAAAGCCAGAAACTCATAGGTATGAAACCGAACCACAAATTGTTAAGTAGCCTACAACAAGGCCAGAAAACACAGGTTAGAAATGGAGAGAGTGGCAGGCAGAAGGAAAGTTTATAGCATAAGACATTAAAGTCACTCTGTAAATGTGAGAATGTAGGGAGAGCTCTAAAAAGAAATAAATGTGTATTGGTGCCAAAATCCAGCTGTGCCTTTTCCAAAATTTTGCCTGATATTTGCCTGACGGCAATTTACTCCTTAGCTTTCGATGAAAAGAAGGCAACTTCCAGTTTTCTTGTCAGGGTGCTGGGTACTTAAAAGAAAATCTCCTTTCATTCTGTTGTCAGCTGTCTCAGACTATATCTAGAAGAAATTAATATTTAAAAATTGTAAAGAATAGAGCATTACAGAATATCAAATAATATTGTGGTTTATAATTGTTTGTACAGAATAAAAGTTTAAAACACAGGTTTTGGAATCAGGGTCACGTGAGCATGGACCCTGGCCTTGCCACTTACTGACTGTGTTGCCTTGAGAATGTTAAACTCTCTAATCCTCAGTCTTCCCATCTTCATAATGAGTATAAATATATATATACATACACATAAGTTAGTAAGCAAAGTGCCTGTCTCATAATAAGCACTCAATAAAAATTAATATTCTCTGGATAAAAAATGAAATACTGGGATTTAACTGAGAGAGTAGAAATGATGACAATGATGATGAATGTTGAAGGAGAAGCAATTGTTTTCTAAAAGTAATATACTATATATAAGCAGTATAATATATATATCTGACTTTTTTTTCCTTTTTTCTCCTTAATTTTCAGTGTGCACCTAATTGGCCTATTGGTTTGGCAATGCGATATTTCTGTGAGCCCAGTTTCAGCTCTAGTAACTGACATTTTTAATACCTCCGATGGTGGACGCTTCAAATTCCCAGACGGGGTACAAAACTGGCCAGCACTTTCAATTGTCGTAATAATAATCATGACAATAGGTGGCAACATCCTCGTTATCATGGCAGTAAGCTTGGAAAAGAAACTGCACAATGCCACCAATTACTTCTTAATGTCCCTAGCCATCGCTGATATGTTGGTGGGACTACTTGTCATGCCACTGTCTCTGCTTGCAATCCTTTATGGTAAGTACAATTCTACTTGTTTTTCTATCTGAATTTGTGTCAGGTATCATAGTAAACACTCATAAAGTTAATTATTTTATCTGTAGCATTTAGAAAATGAAGAAAAAAGCAAATTGTATGACAAAAAGAACTGGATATGTTTGTTAAATAAATCAGTAACAGACTCTTCAAAAAGCAAAACACATAATTCGTAAAATATTAACATCTTACATAGATGCTCTATTGCCCAATGTCATTTGCAAATAATGGCTGAAAGTTGCCTTGGAATATACAGGAGGGGATAGTGGGAGAAACATCCCTCACAGCTGAGTTCTGGGAAGTACACATACCTGGTACCATATCAAATATAAGGAGGACAAAATAGGCTCATGATTTTTAATAAATATTTGTTAAGTAATCCTTTTTAGTTTTTCCAAACTAAGTGCTTGGTACATAATAAACACTCAGTAACAGTTATTATTCTTCCCCATGCACTCTATCATTCATGTTTTAACAAGGAGACGGGATAACAAAATTAATTACTAAGTATATAAGTGCAAGTTCATATCATCACTATAAAAAGTCAGAAACTGAAACTTTCAATATATTGATTAAAGAGGATATATACATGAGAGATTTTTAATTTTTCTTTCGGTTTTCTGCCATCTCTTTGTTGTATTCATTCTAACCTAAGTTTTTTTTCTAGTAAATATTTATGCCTAACAATCAAAATCACTTATACCAAACTGCAAGTATCTTTGCTATGAAGTTGGAGAGCCCAGTTTAAATTTAATTGCTGATATGCTCATCTCACAAAGGAATGAAAACAGATTCCCTTTTTCCTGGAGTGTATAATGGAATTACACTCGATGGAATAATATTGAGAGTGTATCAAGTTCTCAAATCCTAAAAAGGATCAATGCATCTAGAAAACAATCTCTTACGGGACTTAAAAATTAATTATACTGTACTAAATATATCTTGAGAGACGTTTTATAAACAGCGTTCTCAGAAAATATTCTTCTATTCACTGAGTTTTAGTGATGCATTAACCTCAAAGTATCAGTATCTTACCCGCTCAGTGAGTATTTTGTCACTTTACAGCTCCAAAATTATGTGAGTAAAGGTTACTGAAATAAAGTGAAACTATGATTTAGATGTTATACTTTGTCTCGTGGTATAGGTTTCATTTTGTTATTTTCTCCCTTAAAAAAAAATGTGGGTGGCCAAATAATGGTATCAGCATAAATCCAAATCTCCTAACACATCCATTACCTCCCTGAACAATAAAGGAAACAAGAATAACAAATAAAACTAGACAATATCACCACCAAATATGGAGACCATCCAAATTTCCAATTACCTGTAAGTAGAATATCAATAGGAAATCACAATGAGCTGTCTGTTAGGCTCCCATCACATGCTGTTATGTAGATAAAGGCAAGTCCACGAAAATCTGCATGAGAAAGAAAAGAGGAGAGTTGGTTACAAGCCTAAGATCATCTAAAATCACCATCAGAAAGAAAATTCACCCCAAGAATGAAATTACTGAAAAGAAGCTCTCTTAGACTGGGAAGGGACTTAAAAGTGTGCGAAAGACTCTAGAAGACTGTCTTGGAAGCAACTCTCTGGAGGCAGAAGATAAAAAGGAAGGGAAAGATGACATTTGAAAAATGCAGTAAGGGGAAGAAGAGGCAGAAGGGGAGAATTTATCATTTTACAAGATTAAAAAAAAAAGACAAAATCTAAGGACATCACTCCTCCCACTACTGCCCTCAACATCCCCCCAAAACCCTGTACTAAAGAAACCATAATGCCTTACACTGACAGAAGAGGGCGCTCTTGAACTTAGAATTTTGGAAACCATTGCCTTCGAGTCAATTCCAACTCATAGTGACCCTACAGGACAGAGCAGAACTGCCCCATAGGGTTTCCAAGGAGAGGCTGGTGGATTCATACTGCCGGCCTTTTGGTTAGCAGCCAAACTTCTAACCACTGCACCACCAGGGCCCAAGAATTTTGGAAACCATCTCTAAAACCGTTGGCCATAACCATAGAAATTCAGAGATGCAAGCAATCTTCATATATACCAAACAACTATAAAAAGAAAACTAAACAAGAGGATCAAAACCAGGCAATTGATGAAAATTCTCACTGAAAAAAAAGAATGATCAAGCAGAATTAACCTATAACACAACACTTCCAAAGAAATTAAATATCCCAAAACAAGCATTTGAAGCTATGAGAAAAATGCCTTGAAATCAAAATCTAAAAAATAATAGAACAGCGTTAATATTTAAAATTATAATCCAATACAGTTTTCCACAAGTAAAAGAAAGTCTAAATCAACATATTGATAGGGCCAATCTATACCGGGGGGGAAGAAAATGAACTGTAATGATCAACTCCGAAATATATAGGAGACATTAGGTTTTAAATATAACGAAAAAATCCTCAGGAATTCCAGGCAAAAAGAAGAAATAATTTACAAGTGCAAGAGAATTAGACTGATTTCACACTTCACAAAAATAAAAAAGCAAAGCAACAGTGGAGCAACATTTTCAAAAAACTAAGCAATTTATAGAAAATTCTTTCAAAGGCAATCTATGGGCACAGAAAACAGATCAATGGTTTCCAGGGACTTAGGGTAAGCGGGTGATTCCAAGTGAGTATCTTTTTTTTTTTTTTGTATTATGGAATTGTTCTTTATGTTGATTGTGGTGGTGGTTACACAGATATATGTTTGTCAAAACTTGAAGAACTATATACTTTACAGTTCTAAAATGGTGAATTTTACTGTATGTAAATTATATGTTAAATATAAAAAAACACTCGAATAAAGACGGTTTTAAACAACGATTTTATATCCAGACATATTATCCATCAAAGTTATTAAAAGCTTTAATTTTCTAAAACCTAGAAAATTCTGTACCCACAAGCCCTTCTTAGGAAATCTGAGTGAATGGGATTCATTAACAAAGAGCTGACTGGAAAACTTAATCAAAAAGACTGATGATAAGCATTTAATATACAGGTAGTCTCCGACTTATGACATATTCGAGTTATGATGAATCACACTTATGACTGTCCTTTTTTTTGTACATCTTTTCGTTAGTAATATACACTACATAAATGTTGCAGAGCATAAATTGCTGATGTTATCATTCTCAAGCAAACCATCAAAGACAAACAAAGATCAGATTTATAAAGATACTGATAATAAGAGGCAATAATAATGAAAACTATAAAAAGAAAATGAAGTATTCTACTTATGTCAGAACCAACTTACGACGGAGTTGTCAGAATGGAACCCTGTCTTAATTCGAGGACTACCTGTACTTAGATTTACAGCTAGGACAAAAATAAGGGTGGAAGAAAGGGCAGACAATTCTATATTATGTGTTACATAGTAAATATTAAGTGTTACATATTCTAACCAAATAGAAACAATACAACTAAAAACTGAAAAGAGAAGCTAAATGGAAAGGGGAAGAGGAAAAGAGAAAAATCTCATTAAATTTTCTAAAGGCAAGAGATTGGGGTTAAATAATACCACTAAAAAAAAAAAAAAGGGAAACAGTAATAGGCTTAATGAGACAACAGGGGTCTAAGTGCATTAAATATGATACAAATATTTTCATTATTTGACAAAAATTGCTATATATGTTTTCTCCCCTAGAACGAAAATATAAACCTTTCTAACTACCAAAAGAAGTGTAACAAATAGAAGATGTCTCCCTCCCCCAAAAAACTAACTAGAGGAAGAAACACAATAGAACATAGCTCATCTAACATTATCCCATAATATAATATGACAGAATTTAAACCAAATTTATCAGTAATATCAAGAAATTTGGGTCCAACTAACTGATTAAAAGTAAAAGATTTCTAATTAGGCTTAGAAACAAAGATCCAACTACATGCTAATATATAAGAAGAACCCTTAAAACACAGTGATTTGAAAAGGCTAAAAATAAAAGGATGGGTAAAAGTGTATCAAGCAAATGGAGATAGTAAGAAAGTAGAAGTTATGATCTTGATCCAAACCCAAAACCAAGCCCGTTGCCGTCGAGTGGATTCCAACTCGTAGCAACCCTATAGAACAGAGTAGAACTGTCCCATAGAGTTTCAAGGAGCAGCTGGTGGATTCCAACTGCTGACCTTTTGGTTAGCAGCTGAGCTCTTAACCAGGGCGCCACTAGTGCTCCATGATCTTGATAGCTGACAACATAAATTTTAAGTGAAAGAAAGCAGTAAGAATGGAAAAGAAAGATGTTTGTTAATGATAAAAGCCACACTTAACAACAAAGATATAGCAGTTACAAATATCTATATATCTAATAAATAACACAGCAACTACTTTTATAAAATAAAAAAGATGCAAGGACACATTCATGGATACATTCTAGTAATAGTTTAACAAACCACATTCAGTATGAAAAAGATTTGACAAAAAAAAAAAGAAAGGATATAGATTTTATGGGATGTGTATTGAACTTTAAACACCTATAATAAAGAATATACCTTCTTCTCAACTGTACATGGGGCATTCACAAAAATTAATCATATATTAGGTCACAAATAGACTAGTAGAAACTTCCATAAAGTAGAAATAATTAAAATGCACTTTCTGATAACAATGCAGTAAAACTAGAAAGTACTAAAAACAAAAATTTAAAGGCTATCTCATCTCAAGGTTAAAATATTTCTTTGGAAAGTATTGACATCTCAACAATATTAAGTCTTCCAATCTCTGAACACGGAGTATCTTTCCAGCTGTTCAGGTTTTAATTTCTTTCAGCAATGTTCTGTACTTTTCAGTGTACAAGTATCTCATGTCCCTATCAAGTTTATTCCTAGGTATTTTATTCTTTTAGATGCTATTGTAAATGGAATTCCTTTTCAGCTTGTTCATTACTGGTGTATAGAGGCTCATCTTATTTTTTAAAAACTTATATATGTAATATTCGATAACTATTAAAAAATGCATGGTGAAGATGCACTTTTCATGCTCCTCCCCT